AAACAGTATGTGTCTTGGCGTGGGCTGTTCCGTCGGGATGGGTGAGTCGGCTGGTATCGTTGGTGAGAGTGAGGCGAGGTCTGTCGGGGCTTCGCCCTCCTTCTCCTTGCTCAGGCCTTGGCGGTTCTTCCACTCTTCGTCCAGCAGGTCAGCGTCGTCGGATTCGCCAATTGGGATGCAATCGCTGCTCGCCCGTACCTCGAGCATCCCTGAGTGCGAAGAGGAGCCGACCCTGTTGTACTCCTCGATGTGCTGGCGCTGCTGAGGTGGTGGTGGTGGGGGGAGCGGCCACTCTTCGGCGGATGTCCTCGGCACAAAGCTTTGGTTCTGGAAGCTGAGGTCGTCGCTCGACGAGGGGGTAGGCTCCTCTGGCGTTGGCATAGACGATGTATGGGACCTCTCTCCAAATCCCACCTCGGCCAGCTCCTCGAGGTACGGCGGCAGTTCTGGATGTGGAAGTTCGTACTGGCTAGGTAGCAGCCGAAGTAAGTCTGCCTCAAGTTGCTCTCTCTGGTACGCGCCCTCCTGGTCCGCCATGCCTTGGTCACGCTCGCTCGTGGCTGTGTCTCCCCTGAGGTCCTCCGTCATGTCGATTAGCAGGTCCTCGTCCACTTGTCCTCCTGCTCCCCAGGCATCCCGTAGTGCAGTCTGGAGTCCAGCCGTTTGCAAATCATGTGCCCGTTGGAGTCTTGTAATTGCTGCTGCCTCTGCGCTTCGTTCATATGATGGTTGTGGGCGTAGTGCTGCGCGATGGCCTGCATCTCCTGCTGGCACTGGTGCTGCAGTGTACTGTGGTACTGGTGCGCCGCTTGGTTCTCCATCTCCTGCTGCTGCTGTAATGCATGGAGCTCGCTTGTGGCTGCTGCTTGTCGCTGCAGTGCCACCTCCTCCATCCTTTGGGCTTTGTCCACCTCCTCCTGGTGCTCGCCGACGCGCTCCAGATACCTTTCCTGCTCGTGCTGCATCTCGTATGCCTTCGCCTGGATGGCTGCGTGCTCCAAGTTCAGGACGACCCGCATCGCTTCGCGCTTGTTGGCTTCTTCCTGATGCTCGTGGGCCATCTGCTGATAGTTCACTGCGATCCGCAGCTCCTCCTCCTTATAAGCGCTGTGGCGGGCGCATCTCTCCTGGTACTCCGCCTCCGCCATCTCCTGCATCGCCTTCTCGTTGTGCTCCTGCGCCATCTTGTACCACTGGGCCTCTTGGGTTGCCATCTCTCTCACAGCTTGCTCCTCCTGCCTGGCCTTCTGGACCTGCTGCGTGTAGATGGCTGCTCTTCTCTGGTCTTCCATGTGCATCTCCTCGCGCAAGGTCTTCTTTTCCATCTCGATATGCATTTGCAGGTCTGCTAGCATCCCTTTGGCCCTTTCCTCCTGTGTCCTCTGGGTGCCTCTTTGTGCTTCGTATGCTTTTGCTTCCTCCTCCTCTAGCTTGGCGTTGTGGTGCCGCTTGAGAGCGTTGACCTCCCATATGTGCCACTTCTCCTGCTTGGCCAACTGCTCTTCGGTCGTGTGGTACATCTTTTGCGCGATGGTCTGCTCGTAGGCCTTCAGTTCGCTTTTGTGCTTGAACTCTGCTTGTGCAAGTAGGTCGCTTTGCTGCTGTTCTTTTTTCTGCTGCGAATCAAGCCTCTCGGTCAATCTCCTGATGGCGTCTTTGATCTCGTCTGATGCTGCTGGGACTGGTCGGGGCTGCTGGGCTGGGGCTGGCTGAGCTGTGGCTGGTTGGGCCATGGCCGGAGCCGCTGGAGCTGCCGCAGGGTCGCGCCTTCTCCTCGCGGCTGGATGTGGCGTGCGTCCTCTGGTGGGATCATGGCTCCCATCTTCCTCGGATGATTCGTCCTTTACTCCCGCCGACTTGGCCATTTGATCTCTGGTTTCCCTCATCAGGGTTTTGTAGACCCTGATGGTTCTGGCTGCCGTCGCCTCCTGGTCCAGCATCTTGCTGAGCCGCTTCTCCATCTCTGCATGCTCCTCCTCCAGCTTTTCCAGCGTGGCCCTGAGCTGCCTCATGCGTTCTTTGTGGGGCAGGACGAAGGAGATGTTCGTGGCGGTGATCGCCGCTTCCTGCTCGAGGCTGGTTGTGCACAAGCCGGCCAGCCTAGCACCTGCGATGTTCTCGGTGAGACGCCCCAGCCTGTGGCACTTGGTCTTGTACCACACGAACCTCATCTCTTCGTCATCTGGAGGTGCGGACCAGCTCTCGTGCTCCATCGCGACGGCGAAGGAGACTGGCGTGATGCTGTCCAGGACTGCCTTCTGCTGGGGGCTGTACTGGTAGCTGCCGATGTGGGCTGCGGCAGGCATGTCGAGCTGGTCCCTTCTTCTGCGCCTGCCGCTTCTCTTTCTGGCTGAGGTGCTCCTCCAGGGCGCTCTGTGCTTCCAGTGCTGGTCGCTGTCGCTTTGCTGCTGGTGCTTGTGGGTCTGTGGCTGCTGCTGCTGCTGCTGGTGGCGCTTGTGGGTCTGTGGCTGCTGCTGCTGCTGACTATGCTGCTGCCACT